TTATTATTATTTACAACATGCTTCTCAGAATTGGGTTATGACAATGGATTCAGATAATATGATTTAAATACCAGCAAAACAAATATGTATATCATATGTATATGAAATCGGGAGGCAGAAGAAACAGTGAAAGGTACCAGACATTTGTCCAGTTATCCAAACATTGAAGAAGATATATGGTCACCACATTTTGTTTATCCATTTTATCAGAGAATGGGATAGCATATCTGTTCCCCATTACCCATAGTGATGCTCACTTGCTCATTTGAGCCAGCCATTAGATGTGCAAGTAGATGCACAATTGTGACGTTGAGGAAGCAGACAGCTACTCTCTCCTGTATATATATATATTTTAATGGATATCTCAGAGAGTGTATAGAAACAATTTATCCTGGGAGCCCTTGGTGTAAAGATCAAATTGAGGGAGAGGCCTTTGAAGAACCATATTTTAAACTGCATCAAACGGTGGAGCCTTGGATGCCCCTTGCGTGAAATCTTGGGGGTGGGGCACAAACCAGCCCCCCCCCCCCAGCCCCTGCAGAGATTCCTCACACCCTGCCTGGCTCTGGCAGCGGAGTTTTGGTGAGAGCGGAGGGTGAAGAGCACCCTGTGCACACTGCCCCCACCTGGCACATGAGCGCCCACCCAGTGGCAGTGGCAAGGGCTGAGCAAGCATGCTCTGCCCTCACCCGACAGGTGCGCTCTGTCTACACCTGACATGCGCGCACACACGCACATCCATCCCAGGCACCAACGGACAGTGGAACGCCCCTGCTAATGGGTTTCAAACCCTTGGTGAGTTAGGGACTTCCTCTTCATGCAAAGACAGGCTCCAGCGGATTGTGCGGATGAGACCAATAGTGGGATCAAAGGTGAAGAAGGCAGTTTCTGCACATACTATAGAGCAGGGGTGGCCAGCTCCCAAGAGACTCACAGAGTTAAAAACTGGCAGTGATCTACCCCCTTGAGAGCCAGTGTGGTGTAGTGGTTAAGAGTGATAGACTCGTAATCTGGGGAACCGGGTTCACGTCTCCACTCCTCCACATGCAGCTGCTGGGTGACCTTGGGCCAGTCACACTTCTTGAAGTCTCTCAGCCTCACTCACCTCACAGAGTGTTTGTTGTGGGGGAGGAAGGGAAAGGAGAATGTTAGCCGCTTTGAGACTCCTTCGGGTAGTGATAAAGCGGGATATCAAATCCAAACTACTACTACTACTCATCTTCTTCTTTTTCTTCTGGGGGGTTCAGGTCAAAGTTGTTGAGCTATTTTTAGGGGGGAGGAATGACCCGGTTTTTGGATGTGCCTGCTATAGAATGAAGTGAGAAATAGCTCATCTGGAGAAGGAAAACTCTGATCCTAAACCTTCCATGCTTTGTGAGATATATTCATTAGAAGAAAAGGCTATATTAATCTTCTTGTATCTTATAGTGTGGTGGTTTGTTTGATTTTTCTGTTATTTGTTTGGTTGTTTGGTTGTATGTTTGTTTACTTGTATGTATGTCTGTTTTCTCATAAATGTATTTATTTTAAATTAATAAAGATATTTTTTAAAAGAAGAAGAAGAAGAAGAAAAGACTAAGGAGTGAACCCCACACAAATCCAGAGTGAAGTCCCTAAGATGGTTGGATAGTACCTTGTACCACCTCCTTCTGGCAACTCCTACAGCCAAGCTGGTACCAAATGTACAGTATTGCTCTGCTTTCCTTTGGACCACATCAGCGAGGTGGGGGGGGGGCAGGTCTTCCATACACACTACCCAGGTTTGCACCCTGTGGAGGTCACTTTGGTGCTGCTAAAACAGCAGTTTGACTTCACCCCCAGAGACACACTCTTAAGACAGATGGATGCCAACAAGTCCCATAACACAATTATTACACAACACAACAAGCCCATATCATAGCATAGTATACTGCTGCCTCTGTCACATCGCATGGTTTCACCATGATTCCTTTGAGAGGTCACAAGCCTCTACTACAACAGCTAATAAGGAAGAAATTTTGGAAATTTTGGTAACACTGGTATGTGTTTTCCAATTATTTGTATGTCCTTTTTACACAATAGTTCTATTTGTTTCATTCCACACACCCCTTGACTTTGTTCCCCTGTTATTTTGTTCATTGTTCCCATAGTTTGGGTTTCAATTCTTCTGAAAATGTGATTGCTTCACAGCTTTTCCTTGGAATGGTAAATTGGATTATAAACAATATTTTGTTATATTAAAAACAAACCATATTAGTCTTAATAAATTTCATGCTTGAGCGGCTTATTTTAGGGGAAAGAGCAACAGCTTAGGCATCTTGACAAACAGATAATTGTCAGGAAAGTCTAATAGCTCCTACAGACTGGGTTTAACGTTATCTCTCAAATGCTGAGGGTCTTTAGAAATGAGCTGGTTTGCTGAAGCAAGAGCTAAATGAACATTCTTTTCAGATATATGAAGAGCATTGAAATGGTTGTGGATAAATGGACTTGATTACACTCAATGTGCACCTATCGCATTTTCAGTCTGTGCCACACTTTAGCCACAATTTGTGGCTTTAGACAGTTGACATGCAGAACAATGACACTCAACCAGTTCTGTGCAGATCATGTTCTTGCTAATAAAGAGTTAACTCCAACTTGAACAGTGTGATTTACTACTGATTTGCTCCTGACACCGTCTGTCTTGACTGTCTTTTTAAAAGTTTTGCTCCTATTTGCTTTGTGCTGCAATATGACCCACAGGACTGAACAGTTTGTTCCAACTAAATGTTTGTCTAGAACATCCCTTCAGAAAAATCCAGAATGTGTTTTCATAGGTGAAGAAGTTCTTGCAAAGTCTCCAACATTACCATAATGGGTCAACTGCCAAATACTAAATATCAAAGTATGAACTGAATAAAACATCCAGACAGATCTATAGAAGACATTGGCAGATGCCTACATGAATGCGCTTTTAATTTCTCTCAAAAAGGCTCACCACAAGATTGTTGGCACTGAAATCCAAATAAACCAACCCTCTATTGGGCTGTGACATTTTCTGCGAACAATTAATTAAACGGAATTTGAGTTCATGAAAGGCATTGCATTGCTGTCCCATTTCGGCTTACATGGCAACATCAGAACAGAAGCACAATTGCCCTTCTGTATACTTACCTTTAACAGAAACAGGCTGTGCTCTTCGATCTTCCATAAGAAATACATTAATTGCAATGAGATTTAATTCCCTGTAGTTTTTGGAGAATCGACTCGTCAGGAAAGAAGGAGAATGTTGACGTCTTATAGGGAACAACCAATGGATAGAGTATCTGTATGTCGGTTCCAGTCATATAAACGTCTGCCTTTGCATTTTAAGAATCAGGTGGGAGTACATAGACACCTTCTCTAAAACCCGGCATTATGAAGAAATTAAAGTATGCTTCTGTTTGACACTCAGGAACTGGACAAAGAGATCTCTGTATGCATGAATAGATTTTTTTGGTCCAGCCTGCCATTTCCATTGGTACTTAACTATGATTCAATCAAAGGAAGAAATGGTTCATTGTGTCCAATGTCTTCCATGTTATGTCTTTTAATTAGGTGATATAAAGTAAAGGGATGGTGTTGCTGAAAATAGCCATTCATATCACTAGCAGAATGTAAACGAACCGAATCAATGATTCAAAATGTGTGTGTTGGGAAAACATCTATTAGCTCTCTGGTTTTGGCTGACAGTTGGATAGCCTGAAATCTCATGGTTCCTCTACAGCAGTTTAACCAAGGCCATGAGCATCCATCAATGCTGCCCTTCTCACTATGGGTTCTCTTCAGAAGGAAAAGCACTGCAAGGAAGTACTGTAATAGTATCTTCCATGAGGCCTGGGGTCATTTCCCTTTAAGAGCCATTTGGAGGCCAGCTAACCAAAGCTCAGGGAAGAGGTTGTCCCTGCAGGAGGTCTCCCCTGTGTTAGTTATATTAATAATCAAGCAGGAGTAATATAGAGCAAAGAACTTCATTTAAACAAGCTTGCATTTGTGGGATAACCAGCTTCATATAAACAACATGCTTAAGTCTAATTAATGCATGAAGGGGTTAATACCACAGAGTAAGATGCCCTGCCAGGTTTAGCTATGTCACTTCCCTTACCTTGGATGCGTATAGGTAATCAAGCCTATTGCCCCCTTCCCCGTCTACCTGAGAAGCTCAGTATGTGAAGAGGTTTGTGCTGGTTGCTCCAGCTCAACTGCACGGCTCTCAGAAGTCCCTCTTGAGTTCCTATACCAATAATACAGGAAATTTCAACACTTTGTAACTAAACTAATGAATGTGCCTAGGTTTGGAATCTCTGCAAGGTAATAATAATAATGATAAACACTGTTTAGAATATGATTTAGAAGAACACTAGTTTGTGAAAAAACAGAGTTGATAAAAATTCTGCTTTACGTACAAAAAGTAGCCACTTGTTTATGTTAACAAATGCATGGGTTAGAACTACCTGCCTGAGGTGGGAAGGTATGACGTTCATTGCAGCATTCTTTCCATTATCCATCTTTAGATACTGTCACTACAAGTTTCAACAGCTAAGGGAAAGTTTAAGGGCAGGCTCATAATGGCTCAGATTCCAGGTGATTGAAGAGCAGGTGGCTTTTTAATATTTGATTTGTGATGTGCATTAGGCTAAAATGTTATGGTGCCCTAGAAAACAGAATGTATGCTAGAATTATCCCTATTTTTGATGCAAATCCTACCCTGCCTGAAATGCTTACATGATTCTTAGATTATACAAACCAGCCAACAATACCTATTTGTCCAGTTGCGTTCTGTTTTATAGCTATCCACCCACCCATTTACTCTGGAAAGGAATCCCTCAACTTTGTCCTTGGCCTGACCTGTTTTGTTAAGCAATGCTTTTAACAAAGTAAATTGCCCAAGATAGCTGAGCTAAGTTAAAGCAAGAAAAGAAAAGGTGAATGAGAGCATGCCATGACTATCATTTACAAAGGCCAGTCTGAGGCTTTAAATCCCTTGTTTAGTAACACACACACACACACACACACACACACACACACACACACACTGTTGTTGGTTGGTGTGTGTGTGTGTGTGTGTGTGTGTGTGTGTAAACACATTTCATTACTCACCCTTCACACTAAGGTTCCAGGGTGGGTTACAATATTAAAACACAATGCTACAACAACACAACATTTAAAACTATTTGAAACAACTTACATTGAATATATGAATATATTTTAAATGCCACTAAATGCATTTATTTTTATTCAAAATACTGAATAGTCCAAACAATGCCTATCCAAGTTGACTTACAGCAATAAAAATTACAAAATATCAGCCCATCAAACTTTGTATTGAAGCAGGTCTGACTGTTCAATTAAATATCACTACAGTTCACAACATAGTGTCGTTTCCAGGACTTGGAAAAAAGGTAACCCCAAGCCTCTGTGGTTCTGTTTCCTCCCTTAAAGTGAAATAAAAATTTGCATTCTCTGTAAACCTGTCCACATCTGCAGCAGTTATTTAGACAGTGTCTTGCTACTGTGTTGAATTGTTCTTGACATAAATTAAGTGAAAATTGCCTGTAGCCAATTATGTTTTCATCCTGATCTGGTGCCCTGCTTGTCAGGTTTTACATAAAAGATTTCCTTCCTATATTATAAGACCCATAGTTCTAAAACCCCAGCTCTAAAATTATGAGATTCTGTGCAACTGAGGCACTAAACCAGAGTGAGATATTATCAGAACTAATCCTATAAATTTTCCTGGGTTAAAATTGATCCCCCCCAAAAAAGTTATTGTTATAAAACTTCAGAGAGATTGACATTGACTTTGTCAATGGAATGTAGCCTTTTCTTCTTTGAAGACCAGGCTCCCATGGGATATCACAAATTATCCTTGAAACTTCCCCCCATTTCAGAAAGGAGGTGCCACCACACAGAGGAAGCATCTTGTGACAAAGAAGAAAGGGAAATTACAGTAATCACCTGTGTGTACAACCAAGTTCTCCTGTAGCTCTGCTTACTCTTTGTACTGAATATACTTAGAAGAGCTTGAAATAATGGCAAACTGTATACAGAAGGAATCTGCATTCTGTTTTGAAAGGGAATCAACTTTGTGAAAACTTTCCACCCCCAAAATGCACAACAACATGAGACTGAAACCAATTATAACAAAGCTTTTAAAACCTCAACAACAAATCTCAGAATCAAGTTGGATAAATTATGGCAATTGAAGAGAAGATGGCTACAAGCTGCATTGCATTTTTGTTTCAAAGCACTGTCTTACTTTGTTGCTGTTGTTTTAAGATTGATGTTGCAGCCTACAATTCACTCCAAGTGGGCTGTCCTATTATCTTTCATAGGAACACAATGGAGTCAAATAGTTTGCGGTTTGCAAGAATAGCCTTGCTTATGCATGTTGTAGCACTGGGCACATGGGGAAAAATCTTTTCCGTAAATATTTAGGATGAGATCCAGCCTCGCACAAGTGAGTGTCTGTACAATCTTCCCTTTCCTCTCCTTCCCATCCTGATGTGCAAGTGAATTTTTGTTGCACAAGTGGGTAGACATCATTGGATGCCATACATCATATTTTAAATTGTTGTGCTGCTTCAGTTAGTCCTATGAAAAACAGGGGAGTGGGTGGCGCTGTGGTCTAAACCATTGAGCCTCTTGGGCTTGCTGATTGGAAGGTTGGCATTTTGAATCCCCGCGACGGGGTGAGCTCCTGTTGTTCTGTCCTAGCTCCTGCCAACCTATGAGTTTGAAAGCATACCAGTGCAATAAATAGGTACAGCTGCGGCAGGAAGGTAAATTGCATTTCCATGCACTCTGGTTTCCTTCATGGTTTCTGTTGTGCCAGAAGCGGTTTAGTCGTGCTGGCTACATGACCTGTGAACAAACGCCGCAACCCCATAGTCACCTTTGAGTGGACTTAACTGTCCAGGGGTCCTTTACCTTTTATGAAAAACAAAAGTTTAGCATCAAGAAGAAGAAAAAGCAATTTCCCCAAGGGCAATAGGAGATATAACTACAGAGGTACCTCGGGTTAAGTACTTAATTCGTTCCAGAGGTCCGTTCTTAACCTGAAGCACCACTTTAGCTAATGGGGCCTCCTGCTGCCGCCGCACCGCCGGAGCCTGATTTCTGTTCTTATCCTGAAGCAAAGTTCTTAACCTGAAGCACTATTTCTGGGTTAGCGGAGTCTGTAACCTGAAGCGTATGTAACCTGAAGCGTATGTAAGCCGAGATACCACTGTATTGAAATACCAGATCTACAGTGGTGCTTGTGTGGTACTATTTTCTTGCCTTAAATTACTTGTTAAGGGGTACTCCCTTCTTTAAACACAAGGAATGGGAGTGGTGCCCCGCAAGACGAATGCCTCGCAAGACAAAAAACTCGCTAGACGAAAGGGTTTTCCGTTTTTTGAGCTGCTTCGCAAGACGAATTTCCCTATGGGCTTGCTTCGCAAGACGAAAACGAAACGTCTTGCAAGTTTGTTTCCTTTTTCTTAACACCGTTAATACAGTTGCGACTTGACTTCGAGGAGCAACTCATAGAACGCGGTGTGGTAGCCTTTTTTGAGGTTTTTGAAGACTCTGGTGATTTTTGGAGCTTTTCCAAAACTTCTTTTAAACTTTTAAAACTTTTTTGGGGGTTTTTGGATTTTGGGTTGGGGTGTTTGGAATTCAAGGACTTGGTGTTGGGGAGGGGTTTGCAAGAATCTGGAAGCTTGTGTTTTTTTCCCTGCATTTTTATGATTTTCTGTGACCATTGGGCCACTCTGCTGTTTTTTTTAAAAAAATCTGGATTTGAATTTCTGTGTGGTGGGTGGCTAGGGGAACAGTTGAGGAGGGGGTCCAGCAAGAAGCAAAGAGTGGAAGAGGAACCTTCTTCGAGTTGTCCCCCAGAGTCTTAGAAAATGTACTGTACACTTTGTTGATTTTTAAATGTTTTTCTGTCATGTTTAGAAACTTAATTTATTGTTCCTTCAATTTTTGAAATGCTCTTTACAGTATGTGTGACTTTAAAGAGCACTTAATAAACTCTTGTTGTACCAAATTTGGCTTTGTTTGGACTTTTTTTGAACACAGGAACGCATTAATTGAATTTCAATGCATTCCTATGGGATTTCGTACTTCGCAAGACGAAAAATTCGCTAGACGGAAAAACTCGCGGAACGAATTAATTTCGTCTTGCGAGGCACCACTGTATTACATTCACTTATTAGATATACTAATTCACTAGCAACTTTAAGTGTTTTACTCCTATTTTAAAGTTCTCTTGCAGGACTATGCAACTTTCTCTGTACTTACGGTAGTAGTCTTGCTTCTTTCCTTATGTGAGGGCCTGTTCTCTCCCCTCCCCCACCCGCATGTAGGCACCCCTAAATCATCATCATGCTCCCACCCCCTGTTCCATCTCCTTGCAGTGCAGTGCAGGGGCAGGGAAATGCTGGATGCACTAGGAGAAACCAGGGAAGATACATGGGTGTCTTATTATTACGGATGGATGGATGGATGGATGGATGGATGGATGGATGGACTGCCTGCCCTTCATAAGGTCCCAGAGCAGGTTGCAGCATTAAAACACAATATGAAAAATGCAAGACACATCCTCACTTAATGTCTAAATAGGCCCTGGGGAAGTTTGTAAAACACTGCTTTCCTTCTTTTGAATGATCCTTTTGAATTAATTGAGGGACAAATAGAAACCGAAAATCTTGCATATCTATATTCAGTTCCAAATACAAACTTTGTTGAAAATCTCTTTTTCAAAAGAACAATCCCCTATTTTCGAAAAATTCTAAGTCCCCTGATTTGCCTTCACTTGCCCTGAAAGCCCTACTGTAATGTGACCTTTGTTTACATTCCAATTAGGGTAATTGACTATTGCATATTTGTTTTGTCGCAATCACTCCATTAACTAATTAAAGCTAACAAGGAAAGCGACACAGAGGGGACCTGTTCGCAAAGCTAGCCGGCCTCTTGCTTCTTCTGACTTCCACATAGACAGAATCGTTTACCTCATGGGAAAAGCTTTTGAATGTCCTTCAGAATGCAACAGACATTCCTAGATTATTTACACAAAAGTAACTGGCCATTGGCTCCGGAACCTTTTCGCAGCAGAGAGAGAGAGAGAGAGAGAGAGAGAGAAAGAGAGCGCCGATTAAAACTCCGCATGTGGGCAGTTTGATTGGTCGCCAGCCATCGATCGATTAATCATTCCGATTAATCAATTGCGCTTTCAGACTGGGTCTCCCAGAGGGTCTGGGAAGGAAGGAAGTGGCAGGCTGGGTTAGATGGATGGGTGCGGGTTTGAGCCCGAGGCGGCGGGGTCGAGAGGGTGGGCGGAAGGCATTCTCCCTTGCGCCCTTGTATGGAGGAGGGTTGCCTGTTTGCTTAGCAGCAGCAGCAACAACAAGGCGGCGGAGCGCAGACGTCGTCAGCCGCCCACCCGGGGCTGCCTCTAGCTCCACGTCAGAGGCCGAGGGCATGAATGGGATTCCAGGCAGCCCGAGTCACGCTGGCAATCCGGCACAGGTTGGCGCTGCCAATGCGCGCGGCGCAGATATGCCAGATGGGGGGGGGGGGATTCGAGTAACGCCCCGCGGCGCTGAGATCTCACCGACGAGGGCCGGGAGTGCCCGGAGGGGGGGGGAGGCCGGGAGAGGGGAGAGCAGTCATTCCGCGTGAGCTGCTGGAGAGGCGCGGAGCTTTGGGTGGCATTGTTGTCTGAGCTGATGTCCAAACAGGAGCGAGCGCGCCGCGGAAAAGCACGGGAGGAAAGACGTGCTGGTGTTTGGAAAGGGGGGGGGGGAGGCGATCATCGCCGCTCGGCTTTTCCTGATCTTCTATAAAAGGGAAAAAGGCAGCCTCCCTCCCGTCCGAGGTGAGGAATGCCCGGCTCGAAAAGTTGGCTTCCTAGGTCTGACCCGCCTGATAAAGAATACGCATAGCGCCCCCAAGCGGGCGTAGAGGGCGCCACCAGGCGCAAGCCAACAAACGGAAGAGCGCTCTTCTCAGAAAGAGAAGGCGCGCAGTGATGTGTGTGAAGGCAAACGTTTCACCTGGCGCCTCCCTGCTGCCGCCTTCTCCGGGTTGCCTGAACTGCCCCTCTGGCCATCGTGGGCCCACTGGGGAGCAGACACAGCAACCGCCCCCGCCTCCCCACCCCAAGGTTGTATGTAGCTCAGTGGTAGAGCATGAGCTTCGCCTTTGCCTGCAAAAGGTAGTCCTGGGTCAATCCCTGTGTTGTCTCCCGGGGATGTTCCCTGCCTGAACCACCGGAGAGCTGCTGCCAGCCCGTGTAGACAATACGGAGCTAGATGGGCCGATGGCCTGGCTCGATATAAGGCTACTTCCTTTGTTCCTATCTATGTTCAAAGGGAGAGTGGGGTGAGCAGCCTCTGCCTCCTCTTGCTCCTTTACCTTCTACCCTCTGGGGTGTGAGAGCATTGGAGAGCTGGCGCTGCTTGCCTGTCCTCTCCCTCGGGGAGGCCCCACCACCTGCTCACTTGGCCCCTCTCTTCGGGCAAAACTGGCACCAAGGAGAGGAGGGCGCACAAGGGGGCCACGTCTGTTCACTACAGGAACCATCTCTGATGGTTTGCCTTCCCTCGCTGGTGCCCCACAGTGCAGGTGAACGAGGGAGGGAGGGAGGATGAGGCCGCAGCTAACTTGTCTGAGCAACTGCCTCTGCTAACTGGCATGCTTGGATTTTCCTACTGGGCACCGAGGGAGGGGAGAGATTGGACCAAGCGGGTGCCAAATTCTCCCTGTTCTGCCATTCAGAGAGAAGGGAAGGAATGAGCAGAGGTGGCCTCTGGTGCTTCCTTAGATACTACCCCTTGGCCCAATCCTTCCCCCACCCCAGAAGAAGGACCCGATCTGCCCTTCTTGCTCACCCCGCCTTTCGTTGCCCACACAAGAAAGAGAGAGAGAGATGCCCAGCAGCCCGCAGCGAGGATTAGCAGGTCTCTAACTGTGCCTGCGCTCCGTATCTTGCATAAATGTTACAGTGGGAATCCCCGCTCTAAGGCAATCAGCATCCCATTGATGGCAGGGACAAAACGCCCCATTGATCCGGGCAGGATCTTTCCCACCCACCCACCTTCCTCGCGCCTATCTCCCCCACTTCCTTTTGCATTTTTGCGAGGGGGGAGAGTGTGTGTGTGTGTGTGTGTGTGTGTGTGTGTCTGACTTGTTGTGAGGTAACTGGATAAACACCAGCCCGCTTCCTGCCCGGCGGCTGCTGATTGGCTCTTGGGATTCTCAGGAATGCGAGCGACCCCTTAAAGGCGAGCGAAGCTCCTGCAGCAGCTCCAGTGCAAGCTGCCAGGAGTGAGAGCCAAGGGGAACCTGCGAGGGCTGCAGGCAACTGATCACCCGTTACAATCTAAGGATCCCTCGTTCTCTCTCGGACTGCTCCAGGGCCGGGGAGAGAGAGACCTGGGCTGAGGGGCATTGCTCGCTTGGGCTCCACACAGCCAGAGGCGCTAACGAAACCCAACTAAGGGCCATATCGGAAAGTCCGAGAGCTTCGCAAGGATATTTATCTCTCTCGGCTGGGTTACTACAAGAGATATTTCCTCTTGGGGCTGGTTACTTCTTCGGATTCCTTACTTCTACAAAGGTAAGTGCTGAAGAGCCAGCTTTCCTCTTGCAAGTTTGCAGTAATATTTCGAATGCTCAAAAGCGAATATTAAACTACTATGGATGATTTTGTTTTGAAGCATGCATCTTTCCCGCTCTCTTTTCCTTCACTTTTCATCCTCCCTTCGTCTTTCCCCCCTGTATTTTTGGTTTCTCTCCCGTCTTTGTATATCGTCTCCATCCCCCTCCTATCTTTTGCACACCTTTCCTCCCAGCCCGATTCCTTTCTGTCCGCCGCTAAGCTAACGCGGGTGTTTGGCCCGAAACCTTTGGAGTGACCAGGCTGCGGTTTCCCTTTCTTGTTTCAAGGTCGCTCCTTTGGGTCGAGATCCGTACCATGGAGTTACCGGGCGGCCTCTTTCTCCTCCTGATGCTGGGGGTCTGCGCAACGAACCGAATTCCAGGTAATCCGAATTTTGGGGGCGCGGAGCGGGAGGGCGGGGGGATGGCAGCCACTTCAGCCTAGATTTGGCGGGGAGAGGTCACTCGTGCCTAGTTAATAATATTATTTAAAGGTCGGGCTGGGACCTTTATAGTGGCGTTGGTTTTCGAAGAGTAGCCCGGCTACTTCTCTAAGGCGAGCGGGACTTCGGATTGGTGGCTGTGGGCAGCAATCCCTTGCGTCCTATTGGGTGGATTCGCGGCTTCTGGGGCGGTTATCGCATTGGAGCAGTTGTGTTGCGAGGATAGCAAGCGTTGGGGTTTCACAGAGCTCTTCTCCGGGCAGTAGGCAATGTCCTTGGTAGAGCCTATGCCCTGCACGCAGCAGGTCCCGGGTTTGTTTGCTGACAGGGGTGTCTGAAACTCTGGAGCGTAGAGCCCCTGCCAGTCAGTGTAGACAACGCTGGACTCTTGACTCGGTTTAAGGCAGCTTCCTTGGTTCTTAGGCTGTGTTGACTGACGTGACTAAACTTCGGAAGAAACTCCGAAGGAGCCTTGCCTGAGCCCCTCACCTTTCCCCCCTCGGGCGCCCGAAAGGAGGAGTTTTGTTTCCCCCTGCTGGGCGCGGAGTCTCGTGAGGCCGGCCAATAGCGCGGCGGACGTGGCTCCGGAGAGCGCTTGGGTGCCCTCTGCTCCCTCCCCGCGGGCCGCTTCTCCTCTGAGGGCTCGCAGCTTGGCGGGCTCGCTCCTGTGCGCCGAGGAGAGTGAGGCGGTTTGGCGCCTGGAGGAAGGGGGGGGAGGGAGGCGCTTTCCCTCAGCGCTCGCTTTCCTGTAGGTGGCTCACACAAACCCTTGTGGGACGCTCCGGACCAGACACACGAGCGGGGCCGGGAGGGCAGGGGGAGGAAGCCGCAGACGTGCAGAGAACGGGGTGAATTGATTTCAAAGAAGAGAGGCACCTTCGGCTCCCTGGACGTCTTCTCTCCACGTACATGTGTGTGTTCAGGCAAAGCACGTAGGACTTTTTAATGATTATTACTTCACCTCTTCCAAGGCTTAGTCCTGGCACTGGGCCCGGGTTCTGAGCTGAGCCCTGCACTGTTCAAATGCCTTGCCTGAGGGCATGCCCGACCCCTTTCCCCAAGCTGCTTTGTAGCTTCTGTGAGTCAGCTGTCTCTCTTTACCTGGAAGCCTGCACAACTGCCTTCCCACCTCCCGATATAGACCAGAGCTCATTCCTTCTTCAGTTCTTCCCCTCACACAGTCTCCTGGCATTTGCCCTCTTCTCTCGACAGGCTCCCATTGTATATCTCTTTCCAGTTTGCCTCAGCCAGAGCCCCTTGAGAGGGCAAGGAAGGCGAGGAGAATTCCTGGAACCTACCTCACCAGGAAATTCCTGGTTTTCCAGGGTAGCTGGTCATGGATTGAAAGAGCTCTTTGCTCCCTTAGACCCTGAAGTTCAGCCAGTGAGGCAAAAGTGTGTGAGAAACTGGCTGGAACCATTGCAGCCTCTCCTCCATCACTGCTAACCTCCTGCAGAGCCTGGAGACTGTGGCAGGGAGTTGCTCTGAGACTGGGGATGGCATAGATACTGAGAAGCAGATCACAGCTATTTGTTTCCTGGGAGCTGAATATTTTCTCTAGAAAGTCTGGCCATGATAAGTTCCTTTGACTCACCTCCATACAATCCTGTTCCCGGCTTGTGATATTCAGTCCACGCTTCCACTTTCTCTCTCAACCTTTTGACAGAAGCCGATAATCAGTGTTTTCTGTTTCTTTCTCTTTCTCCTGCCAGAAAATGGTGATGATGACAGTGTTTTCGATCTGTTTGAGTTGATTGGTTTTAGTCGCAAGGGAGCTCGCAAGGCACTAGGGGTGCATCCAGTCAAGGGACCCGAGACATCCAGCCCTGCCTACCGCATTGATGATGCCAACCGTATCCCTGCTGTTCCTGACTACAAATTCCAAGACATTCTTGATGCCATCCAAGCTGAGAAGGGCTTCATCCTGTTAGCAAACCTTCGCCCAATGAAGAAGATCCCTGGCACGCTGCTGGCTGTGGAGCGCAAAGACAGCTCTGGCTATGTCTTCAAGTTGGTGTTGAATGGCAAGGCTAAAACCTTGGACCTGAGTGTCTTCCCCAAGGAGGGCAACCAGAGTCTGGTGTCGGTGGAGGAAGTTGAGTTACCCAACGCACAGTGGAACAACATCACCCTCCTAGTCCAGGAAGATCAGGCTCAGCTCTACGTGGGCTGTGAGAAGCTGATGAATGTTGAGCTGGAAATCCCTATTCAGAACATCCTCACCAGGGACCTGGCCAGCAGTGCCAGACTCCGCATTGCCAAAGGGGGAGTCAATGACAACTTCCAGGTAAGATGCCTTTATTGTGGTAGCAGGTTTGTGAGTTTATCTCAGGGATCTGACTTTATTCTGCTAGGAAGCAAAAGTGAAGCAACAGGTTTCAAAGACGGAGATATTTCTTTCCCCTGATTTTTATCTGTCATTAAAAAAGAAGCATCTGCCCTTGGGGTTAAAGAAAAAGAGAGGTTTTTTTTTTTACTTTCTGCCCCAGATGCAAAAATATCTACCATTCCTTTCAAATGTGAGGTTTAAATCACCTGCAAGTCTCATATTTACATTAACAATTGATCCTTGTCCATGAAAAAGACAATGTGAAGGAGAGGAATTTTATAGTTAGCTACCATTCTGACTATATGGGTGTTTCTTTACATTTGCATTACAAATCTAGCTTCTTTTAGCTTCATGTGCAAAAATCTCCTGATTTTTAGCACATAGAACAAGTCTTTATTCAATAATCACTCCACTTAAATTGGGAAGTTTGTATCAATTGTAAATAGAATATTTTGAAAATGTATTTTTTTGGCAATGCTACCCTCCCATTTTTCATCAAAAGCTGACAATAAATGCATTGTTTTTAAGGGAATGCTGCAGAACGTGCGGTTTGTGTTTGGAACCACAGTGGAAGCCATCCTGAGAAACAAAGGCTGTGAAAGCTGTAAGTCTGCAATATGTCTCCAGATTTGCTGACTTATTAAAGATATGTATTTGATGTATGTGAAAGAACAGTGAGAGAAGTTTCATCACACAGTAAACTGCAAAGCATTGTAAACTAAGAAACTTCTGTTACAAAGTGCTATGTATTTTTTAGTCTACTCTCTAATTCTGTGAGATTATATATCTCTATAATCTGTATGCCCCTTTCCCTTTTGTTTTAGCCACCAGAAGAGTTATTATATTGGACAATCCCATGAATGGCTCCCGTCCAGCCATCCGTACTAACTACATTGGCCATAAAACAAAAGACATCCAGGCAATCTGTGGATTCTCCTGTGATGAACTAAACAATGTGTTTATAGAATTGCAAAGTCTGCGTGCCCTGGTTACAACACTTAAAGATTCAGTCAGCAAAATGGTGAGTGGCTGTTAAATACACAATAATGAAACAGGGACAATGGGTTTCTAAGGGCTCCTTGACACATACAAGCCACCAGCTGCTTATATTCTGCAAACAAACAATTGCATGTAACAGAAGGCAGGCTTGTAAACAGACACTCCCCTGTGGTGATTAAGAATCTCCCTCAGGGGACCAGGCAGGGAACTTCATCACCAAGCTGTTTGTATGTCACAGACTGACTACCTTAAGTGTGGACCGACATAAGTAGATACTACGAACAGCAGCCATTTCTAGCATGGAGGTGACTGTTTCTACAGTGACCAAAGTCACAGAAATGGCAGCTGCAGGCAGCATTCATGAGTAGACTATTTTACCTTGAAAACCTCCCTTATGGTCCCACACATGGGACCCAACTGAGAAAATAAATGGCTAACTTGCATGTATGAACTGATCCATGCAGCATGATCTTGTCCCATGTTTCTTTGAAGCGAGCCACACACTAGTCAAGTGTAAGTGCCTATGGTTTCCACCTAAGTGCCCTTATTTGGAAGCAGGATTCATTAAAATTAATGGGGCTGAGTATAATTTGTTGAAGTAATTTCTTTACTCTCTAAGTGTGAAATTCAGATTGATCTAAATCCACTTTAAAACTTTCCTTTTCAGGATGGTATTTTTCAGGAAGTGGGTGCTACTCGGTATAGGACAAGTCCTGGAGTATGCATCCATAATGATGTTATGTACCAAAACACAGCTGAGTGGACAACAGATAGTTGTACTACATGTACTTGCCAGGTAAAGACTCCTTACTGTTAATATAATTTGTGAGTATTTGATTTGCCATGGGGAAGGCTGGAGTGCGTTTTTGGATGGGTGATATGTGCAAGGACACTCTGAAGGCTGCATCTGCACACACTTTGAGCATTCACGTGTCCAGGTAAACACCTGAACATATCTGGGAACATTAGTCCATTGAATTCTGAGTTAAAAGAACCTCAGGCTGAAAAGGTGCTGATTCTCTGGCAAGAGGAGGGGCTGTTTATTTTTTCTCTCTCTCATAGGGATTATTTTTTTAATGTGAATTGAACTGTGGTTCTTTATATATTGCTGGCACCTGATACGATCTTAAGATTTTGTTAGCCTCTAAAATTACTTTAAAGAACAGGGTGGGAAGGTGGAGGTGTGAGACTGTTTCACAGAATTAGAATTAATATCTAGATTGGTCCAAAATATCTTTGAGAAACATCTCTGATATAATTCTAGCATTAAGCAATTCTGAGGTGAAAGAGTAAATTTTCATACGTTTGTCAATATTGTCTTTCCTTATTTAGAACTCTGTTGTTATGTGCCATAAAGTATCTTGCCCTCTCATGCCTTGTTCCAATGCCACCGTTCCTGATGGAGAATGCTGCCCACGATGTTGGCGTAAGTAGTTTAGGCTCCTTAACATTTTCAACTACTTGGTTCCACTAGAAGCTGTGTTGTAAAATATACCGCTATGGCAGCAAATATACTATAGTTAAGTTGCTGGGCAGGGTTTGCACATAACACTACACCATGGTTTAATAAACCATAGTTTAATATGTCATTACTTTGGGTTGTGTGCAGGCTAGGCCATTGTTTTCATGAAGTTTAATGAACAAGAAATAGAGGTAGGTTAGAAGCTATTTGATTAAAAAAGTGTTTCAGTGCAGAACAGTGTGTTTTAATGAGATAAATGGAGTGAAAAATTATGAGTCATGGGGGTGTGTAGAGTGTGTGTCTGAACTTAAAAATACTTAGTTTATCTTTTGGTTACAATTTTATTAATGTTGTTAATATTGTTTTATAGAATAGCAAATCATTCCAGCATTTATAATCATATAATATGACTTCTGCTTCAATTTTGATGTTTAGTTTATTTTTTAGTTGTTGCTTTGTTAACGTTTTATAGATTGTAATTGTTTTACTGATGCTCTGTTAATTATTATTTATGATGTATGCTGTATTTGTGGTCTATTATGTTCTATCATGTTATTGTTTTTTATTGTTTGTAAGCTGCTTTGGAATTCATTTGAATGAAAAGTGGCATAGAAATATAATAAATCAAACACGTGATAGAAAATGTATTGCATAGGATTTAAATAGGGAATTGCTTCTTTTTACAGCCAGTGACTATGCAGATGACATTTGGTCTCCTTGGTCTGAATGGACTACCTGCTCTGTGACCTGTGGCAATGGCATTCAACAGAGAGGTCGCTCTTGTGATAGAATCAACCATCGCTGTGAAGGCTCTTCTGTACAAACACGAATTTGCAATATGCAGGAATGTGATAAGAGATGTAAGCATTTCATTTATTTACTTTGAAAACAATGCAACCTGTTCTTGTCCTGAGCTTGCAATATGTTGAAAAATTCTGATTAATACTTCATGCTAGCACTATTAAATTGCTTGCAAATTGCCAATTGCTGACAAAAGGAGCTGATAAGATAGTTGACTGCTGTAATTAATTACTGTGTAAATCATTGTTCAATTACTGTGTAAATTATTGCTTATCTTGACATGCACAGCATCAAGTGTAATGACTCTCAGTACCAAGTGTGTACCATTGCCATCTTTCTATTATTGCAATATGTTGGTTTCTTACTTGAATTGAATTTCAGCAATTCTATATTGCTGCTAGTGCCAGAAGAAAGCTACAAATCGCTTAAAAGAGCTTTAATCCTCATAGTTGGTAACAGCTGTGTCTGTTTATAGTCAAACAGGATGGTGCCTGGAGCCACTGGTCCCCTTGGTCTTCCTGTTCTGTTACTTGTGGAACTGGAGTGATCACTAGAATCCGGCTGTGCAACTCTCCACTACCTCAGATGAATGGCAGAGAGTGTGAGGGAGAGGCAAGAGAAAACCAACCATGCCAGAAAGATCCTTGCCCAAGTAAGTTTAGTCTTAAAAGATGAGTGTTCTGTGCAATAATTTTTTCCCCAATACTCCATTGCTTGTTATATAGGTGAATAGTGTATAGCTAAGGTATGGCATTGGATGCCATAAGATAAGTGGTACCCACCAACCTGGATGGCTCTGGAAGAGTTTAGACTAATTCACAGAGTATAAGGCTTTCACTGACTATTAGCCATGCTGCCTGGGTTCTGCTTCCACTGTTGCAGGCAGTATGCCCCTTAATACTAGTTGCTGGGAATCACAAGTGTGGAGGGTGCTGTTGCAGTTAGATCTGGCTCATGGCCTTTCTACAGCAATTGGCTGGCCACTGTGAGACCAGGATTCTTAACTACATTGCTTTGGCCTGATCCAGCAGGGCATTTCTTACGTGAAATCTGCTGAGATGGCACTTCCCCACCCCACCCCACCCTTTTTTAAAGGAACATCACAGCCTGAATTTTTCAACATCTAGATTTGTTTGTGATTAGGCATATGAAGGTACCAAGGGCAGTTGTGCTCTGTTCCCTGGATGCTAATAGTCGTGTGTTTTTTTTTAAATCATTTTTTCTTTAGTAAATGGTAACTGGGGACCATGGTCACCATGGGACACCTGTCCAGTCACCTGCGGAGGGGGCCTTCAGCAGCGCGGTCGTCTCTGCAACAATCCTGCACCCCAGTATGGAGGGAAGGATTGTATTGGTGATGCTAAGGACACCCAGATCTGCAACAAGCAGGATTGCCCAATTGGTGAGTAATGACCTATTTTGAAGTATAAAATGGTGTTTGGTAGCTCTGCTCTGTCATCTTCAGAAGGATGTAACTATTTGTCTAAGTTTTCCCATTGGAAAAAATATATATCGAGATACAGCCACATCTTGGCTGTATGCTGGACAAAGCTGTTCATATTTCTTAATTGTGTAATTTAGAGTAGAAAATGATAAGAACAACCAGTGCAAAGAAAGTCAAATTAAAACTGAGCTGATTTTTAAAAACACAGAAGAGTATTTGTTAAATTTATCTACCTTGCTCGCCACCATTGCCCTGCACGAGGCTAATAACATTCTGGAATGTCACCTTTATCCTCTCTCAGATGGGTGCCTGTCTAACCCTTGCTTTGCGGGAACTACATGTACTAGTTTTCCTGATGGTTCCTGGAAATGTGGTGCCTGTCCTGCTGGCTATCGTGGAAATGGAATTAAATGCAAAGATATTGATGAGGTAAGACGACTGGAATTGCTTATTTATATAAAATGTAGGACTGAACTGTAAGTAAACCTACAGCTAATTTTCCCTCCGTCACCTTCTTTCATACTCCAGTGTCAAGAGGTCCCAGATGCCTGCTTTGTCCTTGGTGGAGTCCACAGGTGTGAGAATACTGAGCCTGGATACCATTGCCAACCTTGCCCACCACGCTTTTCTGGACCACAGCCCTTTGGTCGAGGTGTGGAGAATGCAATAGCAAACAAGCAGGTACTGCCAAAATATGAAAAGGTCCCTGCTCCTAAAACCTCGCCCCTCTCCTTTTGAATTTATAAGACATGCCCAGGAGAGGGAAAAGAACAAGTTCAATACATTATTCTAGAAATTCAAGTTGCTCTGATAGGAGAGTATGCATATATTTAACACCTGAAAAGAATTCTAGGGTGAATTCACACTATTGCATTCCGCCACGTGATTTTGCTCACAGATCTGCATGGATAACGTGAATCAGAGAAAAAACATCATTACCATGATCATAGCTGTACTTTCCTAGCAGCCACAACAATGAAAGAAATGGGGCCTGGCCTGTACAGCCTAGTTCATGCCAGTTTTTATGCATAACATAGACTGGCTCCAAGGACAACGTATCTATACTATGTGTTTCAATTAAATTAGTTTAGAATGAATGCTTCTAAAATCTTGAAAGCAATAGCATCAAGACATGGTAGCTTTAAGCATATTCTTCCACACTTCCATCTTCAGATATTGCTATAATTAAAGGCTTGGATCCTAGCTTTTCCACCTCTTCCCTCTGCAGTCCTCCATAACGCTTGCAAAATTGCTCATGGGGGTGATGGACCTTGGGAATGATGTGGGGTGTGGTCTGGGGCCCTGTAGATGGATTTGAAATAAATAAACATTCTCTGTATGTGAACACATCCAAGCCTAAGCTAGTAACTAACATATAGAAATGCACATAGGATGCCTTGTTCTTTTAAAACAAAAGCCATAATTGGCTACTGTATCCATGGAGAAGTATTCTCTTTTTTTAAAAGGCTTCCATGTGTTGCTATCTCAAAATAACAAAATGATAGACACATTTCTTGCATGTAATCTTAATTTTCTTGTGTCCATTTGGTCTCTTAGGTCTGTAAACCACGTGACCCATGTAAGGATGGAACTCATGACTGCAATAAGAATGCCAAGTGCACTTACCTTGGCCACTTCAGTGACCCTATGTATCGCTGTGAATGTAAGCCAGGCTATGCTGGTAATGGCATTATCTGTGGAGAAGACACAGACTTAGATGGATGGCCAAATACAAACCTGCCCTGCGTTGCCAATGCTACCTACCACTGCAGTAAAGTAAGCCAGTTTCTACATATTCTCTCTCTCTCTCTCTCTCTCTCTCTCTCTCTCTCTCACTCACACACACTTTAGAGCCCTGAATGAATGTACGCACCACAAACATTTGAACAATAATATCCATACCTTAAAAGAAATAAAAAACTGTCAGTTAGTGTACCTGAGTCAAATGCTTATGCATAAATTTGTTGAAATAACACCTGTGTCGGATTATGGTTCATACATAGCTTTTAGAGTTGCCTAATTTGGACAATCTGAAATGTCTTGGGAAAATTTCTGTTTCATCTTTAGTTTTCATGATAAATTAGAGTAGATACTGTTGAGTATATTTGAATGGTACTATGGACTGACACCGTTAAAAACAAAATCTAGGAAATATAATCTTACAATCTGAGCACCTGGATATGTTGTATTTAAAGGTGGATAGTAAAGAATTGTTTCTTTTTCTGCAGGATAACTGTCCCAACCTTCCCAATTCTGGGCAAGAAGATTATGATAAGGATGGAATTGGTGATGCTTGTGATAATGATGATGACAATGACAACATTGTAGATGACAGAGTAAGTATCGCGGAAACAGTCCTGTTCTGTCTGTGGTTTAGATAATATTCATTTTTGCCCCATACCTGGGGGCTATTTGCAGAACTTCAGCTTGGCAGTCACTGTAGGAAATTGCAGGCACTGATATTTTGGAATGTATTTAAAGAGAAGCACAGTAAAGTATTATCAGAGTTTTGTATTTTCAACAGCTGTAGGGATCCCATGCTTTAAAAGGCCTGAGATTTACTTGGTACTTCAGATTATAGCATCATTCTGCTTCAGCAAGTAGACAGGAATATTCCAGAGCACAGGGGACTGGCCTTAGCTTCTCTTTCAGCTCCCTCTGTCACACTGTCCATATGGATATCGTTCTATCAATGCCTTTGCTTACTGCCTTTATTCAAATAAATATAGTCAACAAATTTCTTATAAATCTAAAAGTGCATGCATGCTTGTATGTTTATGTTTTTTAACATGGCTTCTTTATTTTCTTTCTTCTACAGGACAACTGCCCATTCATCTACAACCCACAACAATATGACTATGATAGGGATGACGTTGGTGATCGCTGTGATAATTGCCCATACAATCACAACCCAGATCAGATAGACACTGATAACAATGGAGAAGGAGACGCGTGTGCTGTGGATATTGATGGAGATGGTACAGTTTTGTTGTTTATCTTTTTCTACCCCCCCCCCATCACCACACACTTTCTTAGTAATCTACAAGTTGCCCAAATTCAACTGCTGATATGAAATCTTGCTCACTGTATGGACCAAATATGTTGTACATTGAGAGCTGTAGAAAGTTGCTCTATACAAGTCTGGATCCAACCCTGTATTATCAGCATGTTTCAGCACTAGTCGTACTTGGATTGTAGCTCTTCCATGAACAAGCGGCCTGCCACATGATTGCTAACTATTGTGTTAGTTCTAACAGTGTTAATATACGATACTAGACAGATCTACCTTTAACTTGGTTTCCTTTAGTTATTTCCTTTTAGTTACTAGCTTCATTTGGTCCCATTATATGTGTGTACTATTTAGACATGTTACCAAGGTCACTAAAATATCTAAACTATTTGTATTTTTAGGCATTCTTAATGAAAGAGACAACTGCCAGTATGTATATAATGTGGACCAGAAGGATACAGATTTGGATGGTGTTGGAGATCAGTGTGACAACTGTCCTATGGAACACAATCCAGATCAGGTCAGCTTAATTCTTTGGCCTATAAATGTACATGGACATTCAGTTTTTATTAACTCTTTGATATCTGCTATTTATCACACACACACACACACACACCTGCAATATATGTCAGTTGGCAGCCTAATAAGGAATACACAATTGTTTATAACTGGGACATGTGTGGAAAGCCTTGATTTCTTTTTTAAAAAATGCATGAGGCATTCAAGTGCATAAATCATTTCTTTATGTCATGTTAGATGCAGTATCTTCTACTAATAGAAAAACCACATGGATAACCATGAGTAGCTTAAGTTCATTAATTTCAGAGGTTCTACTCTGAGTAGAATACCACCCATTATGGTTTGGAATTACTGTAGAAAGCATACATTCTGTACTGGAGCACATCAGCTAGTAGCATAAGTACCAAATGGGAAAAAGATCTCTGGTATCATCACAGTGATATTTTATTAAATACAGGCTGGTTAAGATAAAGGAACCTGCACAGCGCTACAGCATGGCACTCTCATGTTTCAGATATTTAGCATTAAAGCAGAACATGTGCTGAACAATGAAGGGTGTGTTTGCAAGGAATGTATATCCATGACACAAGATGTCCTGAGGCCAAGAGGGCAGTGAATTTAGATTCACATAAACAAACACACACAAAATGCTTTGCTAAGGACAAAAGTTAAAGCTATATAGAATGCTAACATCACAAAGTTGTTTTCTCCACTATTAGAAAAGCTGAAAGGCATATCCCACCATAAATATATATAACCTAATTAAACTTTGCCTGTTTAAAGGCTTGGAAATAAGAGGGAAGCCCAACCCATCCCATTTAATTTGATCTAATGCAGCAATGGGTGAAGCTTGTGCAGTCATGTCATGTACAAGGCAGTAGGATTAATAGCTTCAGGGGCATACCTTGGATGCTTGAGTGGTCTCGGCAAAATTGGAGGAATCTAGATCTGTTTTTCATGTTACCCTGTGGGCAGTGTTGGCTAAAAGGATGCTTACAATAAAAGAATCTGTTTTTAATGTCCCTGTACTTCTGCTAGACTATTTTTTTTAATGAAAGGGTTCTCTCCAAAGTAGTGTATAGCAGACGACAGTGACAATGGACTGCAAGTATTCCTGAAGTGCTGAGTGTCTCAAGTGACTCATTTTAAGTTGCAGAAAATGCCCCTCTTCAGCTAGCAGCTAATGTGATCGGTTGATTTTTGGGTGACTATATTTCTCAGTGGACCATCAGCCAAACCTGCAGTAACACGAAGCTGGATAACTTAGGGCAATCTGATTAATATTGTAGTCTGCATCTAGAGGTCTTAGGGCCATATTTCAGAAAGTAAGCAGCCTGATGTACTATTTGCAGTTTGCATGTACTTTTATATCATGACACTTCTAAAATAATGTTCAAGCATTTAATCAGTATGTGGCAAAAAACATTATGGTGGATATTACCTTAACAGTGGGTCATTACTGTACAACAGTAGCCTTAACACAGCCATAGCAGTGAGGTAAATAGAAAATATTCATCCAGTTATACAGCATTAGTGCCCAGAAGGTACAAAGTGCACAATAAAGCAGAAAGTGGCGCTTTTATCTCATCTGAAAAAGTAAACAAACAAGAGATTAACACATTCTGGCATGGAAATTACATGGAAATTCCTGCCAAGTAAAAGCAGAAACCACACCATTCTCTCAGGCCCTGGTGTTTTGAGGAATACATTTAAGCAATAAGATGTCTGAAGATAACCCAAAACAAGTTGGGACAGGTGGTTTTCTTTCTTTTTTTGTCTGTGGACATTAACATTAGCAAACTACAAGTGTGCAATAGCTGTCATACCAGCATACAAAGAGAGCTCCTATGCCTGCCAACCTGTTAGTTCACTTCAATAAAGCTCCATGTATGCAAGGACTGCCTGTGCAGAGCTGTTCCCTCAACTGGCATGATAGCCAGCTGGAGTCCTGACCATTGGAACTTCACTAGCAAGAAGCCACTGGATGGGCCAAGACAGTCTAAATTAGTAGAAATCTTTTTAAGATAGTTCTAGTTGGTACCCTTTTAAAAATGCTTTACTTGAACATGTTCGTCCATTTTCCTTTCAGACGGATTCTGACTCTGACCGCATAGGAGACAAATGCGATAGCAACCAGGACATTGACGAAGATGGCCATCAAAATAATCTTGATAACTGCCCCTATGTGCCCAATGCAAACCAAGCTGACCATGACAAGGATGGAAAAGGCGATGCCTGTGATCACGATGACGATAATGATGGCATCCCTGATGACAAAGACAATTGTAGACTGGTTGCCAACCCAGACCAACTTGACTCTGATGGTAAGAAAAATTATTCACTGTCAACTTCTCTAACTATACTAGAAGGGATTGTCTAGCATTAAATTAAACACACAGTGTAATGTTTAATCATCCTTTTAAGGGGGGGAAATCCTTAATGGCAAGAAAACATATCCTGCTTGTTCAGATGGAGTAGCTCCATGTGAATGGATCTACACATTTCACTGAAATGCTGTAAGAGGGTGTTTATTGCGCAGACAGGGGAGCCTTTGGAGATTTGGGCCTGGAACTGTATTTTAAAAGGGATCTAGGTGGAGAGAGAAAAGTTGTTTAAGGGAATTATCAAATGTGCACTTTGGATGGCATTTGTTAGTGTAACTAGTATAATAGTTATTGATGTCAAGTAATGGTGGTTTCGGTAGCACAGTTAAAATCTTGGATTAATTACATTAGATATTTTACTACTGCCAATCTGAAATGCACATTTCATTTTTAAACTCTCACATATTTTTTTATTTCTCTCCCACTCCTCCACCATTTCCTTTCTTTCTCTTGGGCTAGGTGATGGACGTGGAGATGCATGCAAAGATGACTTTGACCAAGACAAGGTGCTGGACATTCACGACATCTGCCCCGAGAATGTTGACATCAGTGAGACAGATTTCCGCCGATTTCAGATGGTTCCCCTGGATCCTAAGGGCACATCTCAGAACGATCCTAATTGGGTTGTTCGTCACCAAGGCAAAGAACTGGTTCAGACTGTCAACTGTGATCCTGGACTTGCAGTTGGTGAGCAGTTGATTTGGGGTTTTCCTTTCTGTGTTTACTGTAGAAAGTGTCATCTGTCTCTGGATGATAACTATTCACTTAAAGGCTCAGCTGAAAGTACACACAATACTTGCTTGCATAATATAATTTAGCAAGTGGTTCACTTACATTCAGATTCTAAGGTCTCCACCGCTCCATAGTGGTGTAGCCCTAAGCCAGCCAGCCTGCCTGCCTGCCTTTGTGACAGCAGAGCAGCAAAGGCAATAGGTTGTGGTCCTACCTATCTGCTACGTCCACTATGACTTCAAAGCAAATCTTTCCATATCCGAAAGAGTCACATGAAAACCTGTGGCCAAAGGACAATAAATCAAAGAAGTCTTGTGGTAGAATCTCTAAATACAGTACTTCACACCAGTGAGCCTTTGGAAGAGGCTGAGGCCTTAATTAATCATAGGGGGAACTGACTATTCTTGCAGTTTAAGAAAGACTAAAAATCTCTCCTTTTTTTCTCTCTTTCACTCAGGCTATGATGAATTTAATGCTGTTGATTTCAGTGGCACATTCTTCATTAATACAGAAAGGGATGATGATTACGCTGGCTTTGTGTTTGGTTATCAGTCCAGCAGCCGTTTTTATGTAGTCATGTGGAAGCAAATCACCCAGTCTTACTGGGATCCAACACCAACCAAAGCTCAGGGATATTCCGGTCTTGCTATCAAAGTAGTGAACTCCACCACAGGTCCTGGAGAACACCTCCGTAATGCACTGTGGCACACTGGAAATACTCCTGGACAGGTAAGAGATTGTTTGAGTTAATAAATAAAACCTTCCTTTCTGCAATCCTTGGACTATTATTATTGTAGAAAGAAAAATCAAATTTGAAGAATGATATTAAATAACAATGTAAGATAAGAACGCACAAGTCTCTTTCAAAAGTCTTGTGCACAACAGGATTAATGTAAACTAACTTTCTGCATTCAATTCAGTAGAGGAGGGTTGTACCCAACTAAGCCATTCTCTGAGCAGGCCCACTAAACTCAATGAACTTTAGTTAGTCATGTCCATTTGTTTCAGTGATATGACTTAATTGGATTCAGTCCTTGGTGTTTACATCTGTCACTGCTGATTCACACATTATGTTTGTCCACAAGAGAATGCTCATTTTGACACAAATATATACTGTATGAATAAGCTCTCAGAATTCCATTTAGTACCAATGGGATTTTCTTTGAACAATTCAATTAACAGCATCATACATTCACTTAAGGCTTTTTCAAATGTAGTAAGTGGGTGGAACAGGAAGAGCAATGTTTGTGTTTCCTGTATCTTTAGCTTCAGGCACCTCCCTCAGAGGACAAAATGCACAACCTGCCCACAGAGTGGGAGGCCTGCAAATATTTCTGCTCTGTATTCAATCAATGCTTATGACAGGTAGAAACAGAAAGAATAGGAAGCCCGAGGCCATTGGGCATGCTATTCATCCCCCTTTGCCATGTCAATTCAATCTTTATTACAGTCTAAGACCAGACAACAGAAATCACAACACATACAAATATATGTCTGAAATCGCATTCCAAGCATACAATTGATTTCAAAGACTTGTACCAGCATAATGGCATGTGTAATTTAACTACGTATTTACTTTTCAGGTGCGGACCCTGTGGCATGACCCTCATCATATAGGCTGGAAAGATTTCACCGCCTACAGATGGCGTCTGAGTCACAGACCAAAGACTGGCTACATTAGGTAAGCTTTGCAAAGTTTCTAAAACAACTTTAGAAGGACAAATACAATTTGGCAATAGCTAATTTTATAGTTGCAGAATAAGCATTCTATATCATGGCTGTGGTTAATTACTGTTTCTCTTTACTGCAGAGTTGTAATGTTTGAAGGAAAGAAGATCATGGCTGATTCTGGACCAATCTATGATAAAACCTATGCTGGTGGTCGTTTAGGATTATTTGTCTTCTCTCAAGAAATGGTGTTCTTCTCAGATCTTAAATATGAGTGCAAAGGTAAGAATCCATATTTCCGAAGCTGAGTTTGTTTTCCTGAAATTACTGGTGAAATATCACCATCACTTTAGCTTTACACATTCAAAATGTTTTGATTAAAGTAAAGAAATCTGTAACTCTTTGGCTACAACCCTTGGAAAAGGGGAAATATTGTATTTAATATCAAGAGTGATGTAAAAATATTTACGGCACACAAGGTTTGCCATTGAAAATAGAACTGTTGAATTTGAATCTATATTCAACAGCCGCTAGGTAAAGGTAAAGGTACCCCTGCCCATTAGGTCCAGTCGCGGACAACTCTGGAGTTGCGGGCTCATCTCGCTCTATAGGCTGAGGGAGACGGCGCTTGTCCATAGACAGCTTCTGGGTCATGTGGCCAATATGACTAAACCGCTTCTGATGAACCAGAGCAGCGCACGGAAACACTGTTTACTGCTCCCACCGGAGCGGTACCTATTTATCTACTTGCATTTGACGTGCTTTCGAACTGCTAGGTTGGCAGGAGCTGGGACAGAGCAACGGGAGCTCACTCCGTCGGAGGGATTTGAACCGCTGACCTTCTGATCGTCAAGCCCTAGGCTCTGTGGTTTAGACCACAGCGCCACCTGTGTCCCTTTCAACAGCCTCTAGTGATATGCAAAAATTAAGTCACTTTATCAGAGCTAGATGGCTGTGTTGCATGGGTAGCCACTTCATAAAAAAGCTTGGAGCAATTCAGCTACACATCTGACATTTTGAAAGGGAAACGTGCAGTTACTATTTAAGTTGCAAAACAGACAATTGAACAGCTAATTGTAGCTGCTTAATTACTAATGTATCAGTGTAAACAGAGTGACAAATTACTATTTTTCCTTTCTTCTTGCAGATCCGTGATCACAATGGCAGTTGATACAGAAATTATTTTGAAATGCTGTATTGCACCTTCTGAGAAGTTTAGTTTCTACAAACCCTGGGACCATTTTTTTTAATCGCTCTTCACTTTCTTCTGCCTTTACAAAATAGACTCAAAATACATGATCTGCCTCAAGAGAATGCTTTTGAGAGAGAGAAAACAGCAAAGAACACTTCATTTCTGACCTCTGTTGGCACAGAAGAAAACAAATGTATTTTGTGAATAAGAACATTCCTTGCCTCAGGAGCAAATAGTCACTTCTGTAAGAAAGGCATTTGTGTAGCTGGGCATTGTCACTGCCTCTCTTTAACTGGAGGTCCAACGGAGTAGCACTTTTGTAATAAGACTATCTTTATGCTGTGTTGTGGACTACTTAAAAATGAAATATATACTTCAGCTTGTGGGAGATGAGAGGGACAGGAAAGAGATTAGCAGAAGTTGGAGGCAAATGCCTCACTCTCTGAAAGGGGACTATTCTCCCTGGGGTTTACATCTTAATTGGAGGGACTGTTACATATCTGACTAATAGCCTGATCCTCTGCATGTTTGCTCCTATGCAAGTCCCAATGAGAGTTACTCCCACATAAGAATGCATAGGATTACAGCCTAAATCTTTTTCAGTTAATAAGGAACTGCTTTGCTTGATTACATCGGAAAACTAGCTGGCTAGCCCCAGGCAGCATTAACAAATGTTAAAATTCAGTTGTGGGGTAAGAGGGGTAACAATATTGGCACATTGGATTACACCAGTTTAGTGAGAAAGGGGATGCAGAGGAACAGAGGGGGAAAGCAAGTTTACATGTGCCAATGCATGATAACAAACATGCACAGGTTTGATACCAGCAACAGGCAGTGCAGATGTAGCAAGAACACTGAAGTGCCAAAGAGCACTTTCAGCTCAACTTAGCACTTGTATTGGCCTTCAAGGAACTATGTTTTTTTCTTATATTATGGTTACAAAGGCACAAAAGATGACAAACACAATTAAAATACAAAATTCTTTTCTACAAAATGCAATGGACTTTTTTTAAAAAAAACAACGTTTTTAAAGCATTGATTTTTGTAGAACTGTAGATAAAGAAAATGTAAAATATTTATTTTTACCTATCCTGTCTGTCATGAATAAGAAAGGACTCTAGATTAAAACAGTAAAACAATGCGTCAAGACTATCCACATAATTTTGCAATGTCTCCATGACTGTAAGATTGTAAATACAGGTTATTTATTGTTCTATAGTGAATCTAGACAGTAGTGTGTGAAGATATTTTAGCTGTAAAGAGCAGGTTTTCCAGAAGCAATGTGGGGCACAGCAAAATGAAAAATTAAAAAAAGCAGTGGGAGAGGGGGAGGTTGGGTTTTTGTTTTGTTATCAGTGTGTTCTTCTTTCTTCCTCTGTACAAGACAACTGGCAAAGGAGCCTAGTAGGGCTACCCTACTGCTGCATTGCCAAACCACAAAAATGTTTAAATATTGATTGCCCAGATCTCTCCTGTCGGAGAGGTAATAGCTTTCTATTAACACTGGCCATAATCCGCTGTCAGTCCGTACTCTTCTCATTTCAGAGGGATTTGCATGAGAGATGCTATCAATGGATTGTTGCCTTTATCACCTTTGTTATACTTGTATGTTGCTAGTGCATTCTATCGGTCCATGTGTCAAACAAAGAAGAAAATCCCTGTCCTAGGGAAGAGGCAGACTAAAGGAAGAAATGGCATAAGAATGTTTGATTTTGCAGATCGCACACCTCAGATACCAGCGTGTGGTTGCTGGAGCATAAGTGCCTCACAGGTGGGATTTCAGGAGCAATTTTTTTAATTAAGAAAGACTGCTCGTGGTATAAGGGGCAGCAAAACTTTTATCTACGAGCCTCTTCTTACTAAGAAAAAAAGAATGTCAAAGGTGAAAGTTTATGTACAAATATTACCTCATTGTTGTGTGACTGAGAAAAGGAAGAGAGAGAAAAACCTTTGGATCAAGCAGAGTTTAAATATCTAACGAAATTTAAAGCTACTGTAGTATTAAGGAGAAACAAAAGATTGCAAGCTGTATATAGTCAAGATTGTTTGTTTTTTTTGCAGAATTACATATTCCCAGTAAGAAAACAGCATTGAAGCAATGCTGAGAACAATTTGTGATACTGTGTTCGATGGTTTCACCCCCTGTCATCTTGCATACCATTCCTTGTATTTGTATAAATTATTGTTTTCATTACTGTTGGAATAGTTAATCTTCTGTTTGTGTAGATATGCTATTTAAATAATTTATCATGAAATGCTACCTGTAGAGCTAGTGTTTCTATTTTTATAAAACATTTGCACACTGAATTGAAGAATTGTTTTGTTTCCCATCCCCAGTGTTGTTGCTCTTAGTATGTTTTTTTTTTCTAAAAATGAGCATATTTTGTACACATGTTTAACCATTTTACAACTTAAAAGCTGTGTAAATTGTACAATAATGTTTCTTACATACAAGAAACAATAAACAAATACAAAAATCTATATTTACAACCTCTGGGGTTAGTTTCATGTGTTCCATCCTCCTACTGATGTTATAAAACCTGCCACTCAGTTCTCCCTGCCTTTGTTCCATTTCAATCAGCTATCCTCTTGGCAAGAAAGCTGTGTACTTTTTTACCTTCCATTCCAATAAACTGTTAGTGAAAAATGTCATAAAGAAAGCATACCTTTACCTTCTAATACCTAAGGGACTCCACAAAGTTGTACTCATAGCAGTCCCTACCCTTTGCATAGTTTCATTAACACAATATTCAATCTTGACCACCTGTAACCTGCCCCCCTCAGCCTCCTACATGGGCTCCACTTTTTTAAAAAAGTTATTTCCGAATTCTCACTGTTGCATCCTCCTCTGTTCACAATGCACTTACATAGCTTTGACTCGAGACTGAGAAGCAAAACCATCTTTTTAGAAATAAACAAAATGGCTGCAACTTACCCGCTTGAGGATGGTTCGTGACACATCAGCAGAAGGCATTTACCTTAATAGGATTCTGTGATCTCCATTAATACCCAAAAGCTCATTAATATCTCTAGGATGCATCAAGGGAACTGCAGAAGAACTGTATGTACATTGGAGTGAGCTACTTTTACTAGGACCTACCTTTAAATGGTTTGTAAGGCTTAGTCAGAGATTTGGGAAGGGATAAATAAGGTACTATTTTATCAGCTTCTTTCCTTCTGAAGGGTTCTGTGAATAGTTAAAAAGGCTTTCAAATGTGTAACATATTTTCTGTAGAGTTGCTAAGTATCAGCAGGCCCTTTGAGTGAAAAAGGGGGAAACTCGAACTTCTATTGTTGATCCACCTCATCTCATCACTCTGACTTGTAACGTAGATGCACTGCTGGATTAATTGTTGAGCCTGGAAGAAGATTTCTCTCAAATGCAGGCCTAATGTCTTTGAAGAGGGACACGGGTGGCGCTGTGGTCTAAACCACTGAGCCTAGGGCTTGCTGATCAGAAGGTCAGCAGTTTGAATCCCCGCAACGGGGTGAGCTCCTGTTGTTCGGTTCCAGCTCCTGCCCACCTAGCAGTTCGAAAGCACATCAAAGTGCAAGTAGATAAATAGGTACCACTCCGGTGGGAAGGTAAACAGCGTTTCCGTGCGCTGCTCTGGTTTCGCCAGAAGCAGCTTAGTCATGCTGGCCACATGACTCGGAAGCTGTCTGCGGACAAATGCCGGCTTCCCCAGCCTATAGAGCGAGATGAGCACCGCAACCCCAGAGTCGTCCGCAACTGGACCTAATGGTCAGGGGTACCTTTACCTTGGAAGAAATGGAGGCAGTGAGAGATTTTACTTTCTTGGGCTCCATGATCACTGCAGATGGTGACAGCAGCCATGAAATTAAAAGACGCCTGCTTCTTGGGAGAAAAGCAATGACAAACCTAGACAGCATCTTAAAAAGTAGAGACATCACCTTGCAACAAAGGTCCATATAGTAAAAGCTATGGTTTTCCTAGTAGTGATGTATGGAAGTGAAAGCTGGACCATAAAGAAGGCTGATTGCCAAAGAATTGATGCTTTTGAATTATGGTGCTGGAGGAGACTCTTGAGAGTCCCATGGACTGCAAGAAGATCAAACCTATCCATTCTTAAGGAAATCAGCCCTGAGTGCTCACTGGAAGGACAGATCCTGAAGCTGAGGCTCCAGTACTTTGGCCACCTCATGAGAAGAGAAGACTCCCTGGAAAAGACCCTGATGTTGGGAAAGATGGAGGGCACAAGGAGAAGGAGACGACAGAGGACAAGATGGTTGGATAGTGTTCTCAAAGCTACCAGCATGAGTTTGACCAAACTGCGGGAGGCAGCGGAAGACAGGAGTGCTTGGCATGCTCTGGACCATGGGGTCACGAAGAGTCGGACACAACTAAACAACAACAAGAAAAAGATGGCAGTCTTTCCATGGACTGCATGGTCATATGGGACATGGTTCTCACATGGATCCTAGTAATCTTTTTTCATGCTCAGATTTGGAGGGAGAGATTTCCAAAGATGAGGCGTGTCCACCCAAAATGTCCCTTTATGTACCCTTGGTATACAGTGTCTATTACCAGGTGGCTGCTCTCAGCTGATCATAGTTATCGGACTGTGGCCCTTCTCACACATTCTAAGCTCTGACAACCACTGTTTCGAGAGTGGAAATCTTCCTCGTCACCTCACTTTTGACCTCCATGGATTAAAAAGGGCACAAGGAGAAGGAGACGACAGAGGACAAGATGGTTGGATAGTGTTCTCAAAGCTACCAGCATGAGTTTGACCAAACTGCGGGAGGCAGGGGAAGACAGAAGTGCCTAGTGTGCTCTGTTCCATGGGGTCACGAAGAGTCGGACACGACTAAACGACTAAACAACAACACCTTTACCTTTACCTTTAATGTCTTTGAAGCTGTTTCATGGGGTGTGGCTAAACTAGGTGAGGGTAGCCGATTGGCCTCAAACCCTTGGTGAGTTAGAGATTTCCCCTGTATACAAAGACAGGTTCAAGCAGATTGAGCAGATGAGATCAAGAAGGTGGTTTGTGCATGTGCTGTAGAGGGAAGTGAGGGGCAGATGGGACTTGCCAACCTGGGAAGGAAGCCCATCTAGGAGAAGGAAAACTGGTGCTAAACCTCCGCTGCCTTGCGGCTATATTCATTTGTGAGAAATGCTTTGGGAGTAAACCCTGAGGAAAAATCCATACCCGCTACCTTGCAGGACACCTTTGGGAGAGGAAAAGGCTAAGGACCAAGCCCTACACAAATCCAGAGTGCAGTCCTTAAGATAGTTGGATGGCATCTTGTATGTCTCCTTCCAGCTACTCCTGCAGCCAAGCTGGTACCAAATATATTGCTCTTCTTTGCTTTGTCCCAAATCAGTGAGGCCAAGAGGGGGGGTCTTGTCATCTTGGCAGCTCAGGACTTCTGTACATACTGCCCAGGCTTGCACCCCAGAGAGGTCACTTCAGTGCCGCTAGTGCAACAAAAGCAGCGTGGGAGGTAGAGGTTATGAGTTAACAGTCTCTGCAGCCACAACAGGCACTATGATTCTCCAGTGGTTTGACTTAACCCCTGGAGGCGCACTCCATGGTCTCTTGAGACAGACAGATGCCAGCAGCAAGATAACTTTGAGACTCCTATATTGCGCTGTGCATCAGACTGATGGTTCTGATGCTTTAGCTGATGCTGGGCAGCTGAGACAGCTTAAGGTCAGTCTACTACGCATTAAGGATTCCATGGATACGATGCCAAACACACCACCCAAGTGGGGAATTATTCTTCTGACTACCATAACATTTGAGTAATAATAATAATAATAATAATGATAATAATTAATATCCCACCCATCTGGCTGGGTTGCCCCAGCCACTCTGGACGGCTTCCAACAAAATGCAGCTGCATCATACTGCAGTCTTCTATTAACTGCTGCTAGCCATGAGCACTACAAGACATGATAGTATTCCTTTCTGAATAAGAAATCTAAATAGTGACACAAGATAACACTCCAGATATGAAAGATTCCCAGTACCTGCCAATGTTTTTCATTCTGCACAGACACACACACACACACACACACACACACACTTGCTAATAAACAGTGTGCAAGATTCAGCATTGTTTTATACCTCTAATATATTATTGCAGAGAAGCTGCCTGATATATAATGGAATCAGTTGTAAGCTGTACACCATGTTGTGGAGTCTCCTTTAATTCAGCAAGGCATTTGGCCAGCCTCACCTGGATTGTATCCAATGCCCCAGTGTAATGGATAACTGTGGCTTAGAGCTTTAAGTGATCTATCCTTGTCAAAGAGGGAGCACTTTTCCAAACACATAAACCAGGCAGAAATCTAATATGAGCTTAAAACAAAAAGAAGTCATTGGGAGGAACTGTGTTCCAAGAGCATTCCTTTCTGCTGCTGCTTCTTGGCATTGCCATCCTTTCTTTATTTATTTGGACCATCTTTCCCTTGGAGTAAATCTTTACCTATTCAACACAGGTTTCCTTTATGTAGAACAACTGACAGAAATAACAGTCTGCAGGTAAAGAGACTGCATAGGAGAGATCAGGTTGAAAATGTTGTTTGGGAATTAAAATTACAATAAGGATAATAATGAGATTCTCAGACAGCCCCAGGTTATGGTGCCCATAAAGTATTGGGTCCAAGAAAACATCTGTGTAAAAGGAGGAAAGCTGCACTTTATGCAAGTATTTGGGGCAGCCAAGAGTGGGGGGTGGGGGATGGAATTCTCAAGCAAATTCGACTCCCACAATTTGAAGGTGTGCTTTCAACATTCCTAATAATAGATGCTGTTGGATTTGGGGGATTTCTAGAAATGAGGGAAAGGTGCAATAGTATTGAATTTCAGCACGCTGTTATTTATCAATCTGATTTAAGATTTATTTATTTATTTAAACTGAAGTCTGATTTTATAGTTTTACCTGATTTTTACCATTTTGCATTTATTGGGCACTGATTAAATGACTGCAGTTAAGCAGTATATAAACTGTTTAAATAAATGATAAGCTTCCCTCAAAGTCGATAGCAGAAATGTAGTCAACCATCACGCGCCCAAATTCAAAAGTTTGAATCTAAAAATTTGAAACTCTTGATAAATACTCCCCCCCCCCTACACTTGGCTTTTAAAAGATGTGTTGCTGCTGTGCTTTGCTGACATAATGTTACACGCATTAGAACCACTCAGCTTATCCTTAGTTCCTCCCTCCTTCCTGGCCCTGCTCTCTGTGCACTCTTGCAAGAGCCCCGCATGTGCATGTGTCACAGTATCTATGGTCTATGACTGACCTCACTGTTCTGCTGCACCAGCATAGAGCATTTCCTTATGCAAGCAGCCTTCTGGTCTAGGACTTCGGTCACTGTTGCACAAGTCATGATTAACACAATTGACAAAGGACTGATGTTTCATTGGTAACAAAACAGGCTACACCATGTTCAGTTTCCCTTGGGTCAATATTCCGTGCGATGGATATGGTTAAAATGGCCAGATTCTGACA